AGAAATCATGACTATTTTGTGGGAACCAGTAGGATGACCGAGTTAACACTAAAGAGGTGGATTTAATTCATTAAATCTGCCAGTGGAGGAGGCAGATTTAACTGCAGAGTACACCATTGTGAAGTATATTGCTAATCCATTTCATCTATTAAGAAATATATGTTTTAATATATTAAAGCAGTATGGATCAGAATGTAACTTGATGCCCAACATGCCCAATTCCCTTTGTTCCAGAAATACAAGGCGAGTGGAAATTCCGTAAGAAAACTTGCTGTGAAGCAAATATAAAGCTTGAATTACGTCATAACAACTTCTCTCCCCACTTAAGACCAAAAGGAGCCTTTGTGCTTTTCTTATTAGATGACAAGTTACCATCTAATCTGAATAAAAATTGGTTTCCCAGGTGTATTGAGAATTACACAGGAGCCCGTTGTGAGGAAGTTTTGCTGCCCAGCATCAAGTCCCAAACAAAAGGTGACCTGTTTGCAGCTTTCTTGGCTTCACTTCTTCTTCTAGGAGTTCTTGTAATTGGAGTATTCTACTTCCTTTGCAGGTAAAAGTGCTTCAGAGTGCTGAAGCTATTTAATCAAGTAGAAATTTCTTCTGGTAATCATGTACTAATTATTTGAATGTAAAAGTATGTAATGAATTATCCATAAGGTTTGTATGGTTATTCAGCATAATTAATGTGGATGGCTCAACTTGTTGCTTGTACTATTTTACTTCCTGGCTTGTAGTTTTCTCAGTGTCTTTTCTAAGCTATTACTTATAGTTGCTTTGTAAAAAATATATGTAGTACACCCATTTCTAAGAGATTGTACAGTCTACCTGGAGCTAGTGCTAACATTTTAAAAAATTAATCAACCCGTGTTGTCCAAAGATTGAGAAATAGAAGCAAATTAATAAAGTGCTTAGGGATCAACTGTTCACTGCATTGAACTGGCAGCCAAACCAATGGGTGCCAGTAGCTCCCAATTCCTTTGCAGCTCCTGGTTTAAAAAGGAAAACTAAGGAAAGAATCAAATTCAAGAATAATCCCAGGTAGATGTTAATTAACCAACTTCTAGAATAAATCAGAGGGCTAACTCATTCATCCAGGATGATCCATGTTTGAGTATCATGAAAATGTCAGTGCTAGACAGCAAGTGCTGCAGGTTTGGTTTTAGTAGCATTTTAGGCATATTAGGACTTCAAATGAAAACACATAAGCAATTACTGGGATTAAGTCAACTATTTGATGCTGTACATATATTAGTACAGTTTATCAGTACATTTATACCAAACCCAAACGAACTTACTCTCTGCATTTATGTATGCAAGTCAACCTCCCATGTCCCCTCTTGCTTTTAGAGTATAGCACTTTCTGTAAGAGCTCCTTTTGTTATAGACTGTTAATATGTATTTATGCCTTTATGAGTCAGCTGACTAGCCCCTGTAATTCTTAGCCATCACAGACTTGCAGCCTCTTCCTCCTTCTCCTATGCTGCATTTCTCCTTGGGTATGATACCCTAAGGTTCTTGCAATTCTGTTCTTTGCTCTCCATAATCGCATTGCCAAATCAACCTCTCTGATCAGTGCCTTTCAATGAGCGACCTTTGGAATAGCTGGTCTAGTTTTACCTCAGCTGCTGTCATGGAAACCCACTGAATGCCAGTTTTTCCCATAGCTGAATATATTTAGAAGAGATAGAGAGTATTTGCTAAAACAGAGTTTTATATAAAAAAAAAAAAACCTTGCAGAATATACCCCCCACCTTAGTAATTTTAGCTAAAGTAATCCTGTTTTAGCAGTGGAATGTCACAGCAGTTGTTCACTAAAGAACATTTGCAGATTACTATGAAGTTATTAGAATTGAAATACAGCTTTACCTAACTAAAGAAAAATTCATTCAAGTCTCACAGAGGTACAGAGAGTATTTCTTTAGAAGCAAAGCTTGTTTCTGAGAAGAGAAAAAAAAGTCTTCAGAGAACAGAGAATTCAGAGTAATCAGTTAAAAGATCCCCTTCCCCTTGCATACAGTAAAATTAGGAAAAAGCTGGAGACACAACCTAATGAGTTCTCTGGTCAGAGTCCTGCATTGCAAAGTACAGAAGCTTAGAACAACAGCAGTGACAGGTCTGTGCAAATATTTTATTAGACAGCTGGAAGATGAACCTCAACTACTCTGTTTCTATATAGGAAATGAATTTACTTGAACTTTACCTAACTGGCAGAACAAGTAGTAGGGCATCTTTATTAGAAAGATAACAAGGGCAGCAACTCAGTCTTAACATAGTTGCCCTTGAACCTATCTTACATACCAGACTAGCTTGGGAAATCTCATAAAATCATGATCAACTTCTTTATACTAAAGAATGTAACTGGCTAAAAATTGTCTTGTCGTACCTTTGCATTTCAGAGGCTGATGTAGCACAATCATCTGCTAGAGAACTCATCTATAAAAGAAACACTTCACATTTAAAAGTCCTTATCTCTTGACTGAAGTGACCAACATATAAGAGGAGTCTCAAGTGGATACTTTAATCTACTCCCCTCTTTTCAGCTGCATAAACAAGGATTATTGCAAGCAGCTGTCTTTAATATTTTTTTTCCCAGATTTGATCTACAACTTGTATCATAACATTCTGGAAGAGGGAGGGGCTTGTAAGGGTTAGCTGAGAGTTTGCATCATCCCCGACTTGTCCTCTTGACAAGACTTATTAAATTTCAAATTTTAAGAGAAATATTGTGCTATCAAGTTTTCACTATTACACCTTATTAAACAAATACATTTGGTCCAGAAGCAGAAAGCAGTTTTTTCTCCCACATTGTGTGGTAGTAAGCATTTCTGTGGCTCTTTCACCAGAGGATTCTAGTGTGGTTTTAGTATAAACAGCAATGCAATCTGGAGGGATGCAGAAGAGTAGTTATTAACTGCAATTTTGAATACAGAAAAAAAATCCCTAAAATTATACATCAAATCTTTTAGAATGTAGGAAATCAGTGCCCTATTTTCTTGTCCCTGTCATCACTTGTACCCCCTCTTCCTTTCCAGGTTTTCTTCCTTTCAGGCTGCTTGGGGCAGATTTCAGGACCAGGCATGTGCAAGTGCATTTCAGGCTCCTACAAATAAATCCATTCAGGATACAAGGGTGGAGAGAAAGGATTTAATTGCTTTGCTTATAAAACTAAATTATAAGTAACAGTGAAAGTAAGAAGGAGAAGTGGTCAAGGACTGGTGATGAACAAAAGCAACTTAAAACTGGAAAAGATGCACAGTAGGCTGGGGTTAAACCTCCCACTGTTGCTGGAACCTGCTGAAGGAAAGGCTACTGTAGTGAGTTATCTTAGTGAGGCTCAGGCTGATAATATATTATTATTTAGGGAGTAAAGTGAGTAGCTTTAATTCCTGAAAAAATAATGGGGAATGTTGTTGCAAAAAAAGACTATGCTTTTATGTGTCCTCAAGGATGAGTTGTAAAACAATTTAATATCATGTAGTAGGAATCCATAAAAACCAGTACTGTCCACACCCAAAAATAGTGTAAAACCAGTTCAGTACATCAGCATCCTCTTACTTTATCAAGTTTTCTCCAGGAATAGCTTGTTTCATAAGTGATAAACATCGCTTCTCTGTCAAAGGAGGAATCCTGATCTTTAAAGAGCATGCTCAGTTCTGTTTGCTACATTCCTGTAAAAGCTCAGCACATAAAACTATTGCTAACTATTGGGATTCACTAGAAGATACGGCATCATGCCAAGAATTGTACTTTAGCAAAGACAGTAAAATATTTACATTGTGAATGTAAAACTTATCCATATATATATATATATCTTTAAAATCAGGACTTATTTCATGAGAGCTATTTGCTATTTAGCACTGAAAAAACTGTCTTGGATTGTGCAGCTTTAGGCCCAGGAACTGCAAAACATGTTAGCAGAGCAGAGTGCATGGAAGTAAAGCAAAGCCAGATCCAGCCGCTCTCTATCTTGAAACAAACACACACACACCCCGCCAAAAAATGGTACTGATAAAGCCTGTCATTTTGACCTAGGGAAAACAGGAACATATGCAAAAATCCTTGCCATTACATTGTTAGTGTGGTAGCAAATTGCCTATTTTGCTACAAGCAATTCACCTATCAGTACAGGTCCATCTGGCTGCCTTTCTTCAGAAACACTGTACAAGGGTTACTGGAAGAAGAATTAAAAATTTAGCTGATTAGTATAGATTCCACATAAGCCAGCTTTTATTTAAAAAACAATAAAGGCCTGAATGCCACGCACACATCTTAGAGGATCAGATAAAACCTGAAGGAAAACAAATAAATCTGCAGTTGATTTCTATACTTTTTTTATAAGTCCATGTTGAGATGTCAATTTACCTGTAAGGTAAGTGTATAAGGATGCACAGGAACTCAGCCAGCCAAAACAACAGGGTCTAGGAATAAAGCCATTTAAGCTGTCCAAGACAACAGATTTTGTGGAGGAGTTATATCACCACGGGACACAAACTGGACAGAAAGAAGAATAGCTCATAACTCTTCTCCGGAGAGCAGATGCCTAATTTACTATTAAAAGAAAGGGAAAGAGGTCAGCTCTATTTAAAAGATCTGTTCCTCAAGAAAGTGTGGAAAATATCACATTATTGATATTTCACTTCCAAATGCTAACAGAGTTAATGATAATTTAAATTTTGTGATATCTACTAATTGCTTAAATAAAGACCTGAGAAATCAAACAAACATTAACTTCAGGAGAGAAGCCATGTAGTTCTGAGTGCTGTTCCTGCCTCTGATCTCTGTTCTTCTCCCTCAAATACAGGCTTCTCAAAAATGTTGAGTGTTAATTAGAAAGTAAATGCAGAAAATCCGTGTCACTTTTTTTCAGGGGAAGCATCATTCAACTGATTTTTCTCTTTTCTGATAACTTTTTCACAGATAACTTTTTTCATTCTGTGTGTGGTTTGTTTTCCCCTTTTCCCCTTCCCTGTTGTCTGTCTTTTGTTTCTTACGGTCAGGAAAGCTTCTATTCCAAGGACAAGCTCTTCAGAGTGTGGTGCCAACCTGGTTGAAACTACAAGCAGCAATGTCTGCAACAGTGAGTACATTTAAAGTTAAATGACTGGGCTCCATAAGGAAGACAGGGGAGGAAGTTTTAATTCAAAGCATGTGTTTGTGTTTTGTTTATTTTTCAGAAATAATAATAGAGTAAAGCATTAGAGTGGAAGAATGGTGAGAAAACAACATGCAGAGCAACCCTAAGAATACAATAGTTGTAGAGGATGATGTGGTAAGCAAGATGAGAGAAGAAAGTAGACTGAAATAGGAGGCTTACTTATGTGTCGGAGAAGACTGCAACTAAGACATAAAGAGAGTTGCACTTATTAGAGTTTCTATGTATTTTTAAAGGTGTATCAAATTATACAGAAATCACTACAATCACTATAATTTATGCTTGGATTTTGTGCGATTTTTCATTACAAGTTACTGTTTTCAACAATGCAGATGTAGGAGCATGAGAATTTTTTTACTGCATGGGAAATGTGAATTACTTTTTTTTTTTTTCAATGTACAGAGAATATGAGATAATCACAGGGTTTTTAGCATGAGGTAATACTATGAATTTTTGACAGGATTATCCTTTTCCACGGGATTGCCCCAGAGTTGAGGACTGTCTTGATTCAATAGTTTAAAAATTTGTACCTGTGATACATGTCCAGAATTTGGCTTGTTTCAGATACACTTACCATATGTATGGGGAAAAAAAAGTACCTTTCTCCAGCTAATACTGCCTTTTTTCTTTTTTAATTAATAGTAAGACAATGTGAGGATGAGGTACCACTGCTAGCATATTGACCAGCTTCCTGGCACAAGATTTTAATTCAAATTAAAAGAAAATATTAGTAAGAGAGATTGGTAATGTTTAAAAGAAGTTTACTAGGCAGAGTATTTACCCTTTGTTTGGTATACATCCCTAATATTAAGCAAGACACCTTCTTTGGTGGTTTTATTTTTGTCTTGTTTTTTTCTGAGCATCTCACTACTGAGGGAGATTTAAACCTTATCTTAAATTTTCCAGTTGGCATTTCAGGTAATAGAAGTCAGGAATTTTACTTATCACGTCCATTCTTGACACAAAATTTTATCCAGGTAGGCGTCTTGTGCTGCCAAGTGCTGCCCTCTCTAGAGATTTATTTGTTTTATTCACATAACCATTTGTTCATCACACCAATATATTATATATCACTGTCTGGTTCCTTACAGGATTCTCTTACTCAGACAAAGAGAGGCCAAATGACATGGTCCATCTCTCTTTCTGCCTTGACAACACAAAGAGGCAGTCTGATTAGACTCAAGCATAGAAAATGTGAACTGAACAATTCTCTTTTCAACTCATTTCTAGCACTGGTGATTGAAACCAGCAAAAATCAGATATGTTTCCATAATGCCACATTACCTAGCAGCTCATTATATGGGATTTATAAGGTTGTACTGAGGAGAAAATTAATTGAGAAAACTTCAGGAACTGAAAGAGGAAATGCAGAACACAGATTTCTTATCTCTGTAATAAACAATCTGGAGGTGTATAAAAATATAGGAGCAAAGAAAATGTTGAATAGGCTTTTATTCCTCTGGTGTCTACTACATGCTGTAGTGTCAGAAAAAATAGTGTGCATTTTATATCAGCATAGACAAAAGTACAGGAAAACAGAGAAGAAAAGACATGCTGTTACAGCATATAAGGTAAGAAGAGAAAACTGTATTGTAATAGATACTAGAAAACAAAACAGAAAAATACATTACCTTCTGAGGACTCATGTCAGAGAAGTCCAAGTTAAAGCTCAGCATCTGAAGGGAGAATCTGATGGCACCAAATCAAGTAGAGGACCTGATCCAGAGATTAAGTTATATAAAGCACTAAAAGATCACTTTCTCCCCAAATTAACTGATCTTACATGTTATTTTCTGGACTTCAAACCTTTAGCAGATACTCTGAAGGAAGCTGATAATATTGTTTTAAAGGCTAAGAAAGAGCAAAGTGATTTTTCATCACACAGGGACACTCCACTGTTAAATACAGAGTTTAGGAGCTTTGTAGCAGTACTGACAGCTACACTAGAATCAGTATTACCTAAAGTACTTTGCACAGCTTCAGTGAAAATTAGTCAGAGACAACTACTGTTAGATAATTTCCATGTGTTATTGATCATGAGACATTCAGACCTAATAATGTTAAAGTTTGGTATACTATTTCCATTGAAGAAGGAAATGGCTTGTGGTCATCTTAAATGGAAATTCAGCAAGGAAATATTAATGGAAGATGTCAGAAATGAATGGACTGAAGTTGTACTCTTCTTAGAACCTTCTCAGCTTTCTAGACAGACATGGAATAGTTATTCACTGTTAGCATTATTCGGGAAACAGTGTGTACGAAATGTGAGGATGAATAAACCAAAATCATGTTTAAATGCAAACGAGTTGATTTATAAAACAATGTTATCTTTGAAGGAAATCCTATTAGTGAGTCAGACTGCTTCAAACCCATTGCATCTGAGAACATTTCAGCTGCTAAAATTAATTATTTCAGTTCACAAGCTTTGTGAATATGATGTTCAGGTCAAAGTGAGATCAGGCTACAAATTCATTTTAAGGTGGTCAAATGCCACAGAAAGTACGGGGTAGCCAACATTACATATAATTTAATATAACAATACAGCACTCCGTAGCAATGCTTGCTTACAAAATTATCCAAGTAGTCCTGTAAGCAATAAAGCTAACGAAACACTGGTTCCAATGGATCACATCTTGTGGTTGGAGTCACAGGAGTCTAAAGAAGAGTTCCATGTATACAGAGGGATGAGTAGTAAGGTCTCTCTTCTCTACTTGACTCCTGCTTTCATGAAACGTAAGATCTAATGTCTTTCAAATTACCCCTCCACCAGCTGAAAGGTTATAGAGGAAAGAAAATCAGAATAAACTAATTTCCTAGGAACCTCCACTAATATGATTACACAACAATTTATTATAGCGTTATTGCAAAAATTCTTTTAAATGAGGATCATGTTTTCCTTCCAGAATCTTTTAGTAAAGGTATCTTCATAATGTGTTGCAAAACCCTTTTGCTCACTTGCAGAATGAAATGCCAGCCATTAGCAGAAAATCTCTTTATAGACCTAAGTAAGAGGTTGCTTATATGTTACTAAGCATATATATTTTTTTTTCATTAGTAGCCCAAACAAGCACTGGGGCAATGTACAATGAAAGGAGAATGAGAAATGGTTGTTCAAAGAAAACAAGATTTCTCTGGGCTGCACAGCCTTTTGATTTATATTGTTAGCTATTAAGGGGGCTGACCAATGGGAGGTCCATTTGGTAGCACCTGCCACTTTAAAGGTACCTTCAATGTAGTGTGACCCCTTCACAATTTACTGCACTAAAAAAAGTATTTTCCTCCTGGCCTTACATTTTTGAAGAACAATAGAGGGGTTCCAATAGTATGACTCAGTTATTTTAAAATGGAAAGAAGAAACGGGGGAGAGAACTTATCACAAAAGAAATGGTGTCTGTGCCATTGCTTTCTGTTGTGAGTGTTCCAGCTAGGAGCTACTGAACTGACCAGAGGCCAGGAAGAAAGGGAAAGCAGTGAGCTTACCTGAAACGCTACAAAATCCTGTTACATGTCCAGCAAATTCTGTATCAGGAGACAGGTCCCTAGAAGGGCCTGCCCAGGGAGAGGGAGAGCTTTAGCCAAAGGTGGCTATGGATTTAACATGGGACACCCGACTCTTCTACATTAAAAACCAAACCAACCCTGCCCCCTCCATTGTGTTCCACTGGTATCTAGCACCCTTTCAGATTTAACAGACATCAAGCTAGTTCCAGTAAAAACTAAGACGACTGTGGATTAGTTTGGATAAGAGTTTTCACTTGTACTATGACCATATTCAAACCCAGGGATATTAATGAAGATATATCCATATAAGTTTGGGAAAAAAAATAGAACTAAATTGTGTTATGATTCTCTGGCAATGTTATTTAGATTACCAGGATGCCTATGTTCACTGTAGCTCCCACTTATAATGCCTTTTGTTGACATTTATATACTTAAATGAAGAGATGGAATATTCCTATATCTTAGATTATATGGAATAATCAAAAGAATCAAGACATAAATTATTTTCTTTTTGTGGTTAAGATTAGTGAAAAAAGTGCTTCTGACAAGAAAACACTGCAGTATTTCCTGCACTTTGGGCGAAAATGCCTAAAGATGTTTAAAAACCAACAAAACCTTTTTCATTATTGTATGTAACATTATCTGCTTGTGTTTATCCATAGTCCGTTCTTGCTTTTCTTGTGATTGTAACCTGTTCAACATAATCTGTATGTAATGTGAGAGATCAATTTCTTGATAGCAAAGTACCAAATACAAATTTTGTGAAATACTGATAGGCAGGTTTCCACTCAGTTCCACATTTGAGACTGATAGTCCACAAAACCTTTCACCAGGAATTATTTCTATAGCTACCTAAGGGTGTGTAAACAGAACCTGCAGCTGTAGAACCTGAAATAAGGAGACATTGCTGTTTTCATCCCCCAAATTAAAACTACTGCCAATTTTTAACACTTCTAAATTCACCTCTGTGTCAGTTTGTGTAACATTTAAACGTTCTTTCCAGTGTACATTAAAAGAGACTGTTTTCAAATTATCATCTCCATGTAAAGTAATGATATTTTGACTACAACTTCTGTACAGGCAAATGATGGGCTGTAAAAATATAACTGAGCATTCACTGGTGGCATATTTTAATAGGGCTTTGTAATTTGAGTCTATTTTCTATGTTCTCCATCACAGAATTTGCTGCTGCTTCAAACTCTTGTCACTTTCACCAGTTCCGGAGATTCTAGGAGAGTTCTAGGGGATTAGTGTTTGCTCTCACTATTGCCATACTGACAACTCAGCTAAGAAGAGCTGATTTAAAAAAAAAAAAAAAAGCTGTTTCTAACTCTTCTAGCTGTGAAAATTTATCCTGAAAAGGTGACATGACTGCCACTGATTCAGTGATGTGAATCACTCTGAAACATTTATTTTGAGAAGTTTGTGCTACCTGCTAATCTCAGTGAGGATCTAGCTGTGAAATGTAATGATGGCAAACTATAAATTGTTTTTAAAAAGCATTTAGAAGCACAAATCCCATTGATTTGAGAATAAAATTTTTGCTCCTAAATTATCAAAGCACTTGAAAAAAAATTCCAGTTAGCTATTTCTCTGCTAATGATTCTAACATAATCATCCAGGTAATAGAATCTCCAAATAATCCAAACCTATTTCATGCTCTTCCTTTGAAAAAAAAAAAGTTTCATTTTTCACTGTAGCTACATGTTGTCTGTTTAGAAAAATACCTTACATTGTCACAAAGCACTGGTAGGCATAAAATAATCAGTACAAGGGTCCTGCAGTGTTTGAACTTGTATCTGTTTGACCTAAACTGTGCTACAGGACCAAGGCACACCACCACCAGAAGTGAGCTCAGTTTGCATTGCTGCACACCTTTGAGCCTCTAGTTCAGGAGACACATTCCTAGATAGAACACCGTAATGGCTAATCCAGAGCCTCTTCTGGAGCCTGTGTCTGGCTGAGAAATGGCTTAGGAACAGGAAAAAATCTCAGGTAAGAAACTCTGTAATTAGTTTAATGTTTATCTTGTCTGCTTTGGTGTGCACAAAATACAACTGCTGTATTAAGATATTTTAGAGATCCACCATAGACTCATACAGTAAAAAACCCACAAAGATCTTCTCCACAATATAATCAAGAAAAACAGTGGGGGAAATAATTATTTTCTTAATGTTCGCAGAGTGCTCAGAGATTAGAATATAAAAGACCCTATAAAAGACCATTGAAAAGTACATGCTTACTATCTTTGCAACTTCTAACTATGCAAACTTCCAGACCTCTAATGTTACTTTTCTGCATCATAAAATAGGCATCTGAACAGCAAATGTTTTTTCTCGCATTTGGCCAGACATTAGGGGTTCAGAAAACTTTGTCAATACCAAAGTTAGTGTCTTACATGAAAGCTAATGAACACCACTACAATTACTTCTAGTAGAAAGTACTGTTTTTAGAAAGACAAAAATAAACTAAGAGGGTGTAATGACACCAAGTGAGTTTTGAGAAAAATTAATTAAGAATTGTATGTAATCACTTTTTTTTTTTTTTTCAAAATTCAGTCTGAGGTTTAACTTTCTTATCAACCTTCTCTGCTGCATGCTGGAAGTCAGTTTGGCTGCATCATTTACATATCTTGGTTTACTGTTCCCTGCCAAGGGGCCATGATTCAGTATGACTCAGTCATCTCTTTAAAAAAACCTTGTTTCAGTATTAACTTGGGCCAAACCAAATCTGACACGGAGAGTAACAAAACCCAAGTTCACTATCTTTAGTTTTCTTCAGTTTTTAACTGAAATTGCCTTCTGGTAGTACAGTTGTGAAATAGAATCATTTGGCTTTATCAAATGATTCTGGCTTTCTTAGAACTGTACGTTATAATATCCTATAACGAGGGGATTTTTGGATTAGTCGGTTTAGAATATAATAGCTTTGTTTGGTAATTGCTGTTTTGGTCGTGCAAGTATGAGGCTACACATCACACTCCTTGCCTGGTTTTTGTACTTTTGAAACCTACAGTTCACTTACCTGAAAGATGCTTTAAGAAAAAACATGGCAGGAAACATTATTCATATCCAAAACATGGGAAAAAACGTCTTTTACCTTTTGTGAGCAAAACCATCACTCCTCCCTGCAGGTCTTGTGACTTTGAAGGTTTTCTTTTTTTCTTAACAAAACCAAAATCCAGATGTAGTCACTTAGAGATTATATTCTCTTGCTGGAAACATATTACCATCAGCACTGTAACTGCAGATAATTATCTTTAGAGCAGTTCTGCTATTCACATTTGCCTCAATTGCAGAATATTCATTTAACTTACTTTGTCCACTTTAAAACCTGGTGGTTATTTTTTGAGTGACAGTTACAAATTAGTGCACTGCAAAACTTCCTGTCAACTAAGAACAAGCTCTGCCTTTTGGTATATGCACTTTTTAAGAAATACATTTTGGCTTCTCTCTGGGGTTGTCATGGTTGAAGAGCAAATGAATATGGAGGCAAAATGAATTTGGATAGCAAAACACTTTAATCACAGATGTTGCAGTTTTATCAATTACACCACTTCCCTGTCGCTTGGAAGACATGAGACAGTCTGGGGGGCAGCGCAGCAGTTCCAGCCATGCAGCACACAGTTCTGGGGTCCTCTGGGCTCATCCCCACTCCCTGAGGTTGGAGACGATCCTGGAACTCTGGTGCAGGCTCTTGGGGTTCCTCCCCCCGCGTCTTTTCTTTACTACATTTACCTCTTAAGTGTCCTCAGCTACAGGACTGGGCAGCCACGGGACCTTGCTGACGTTTAGCCCATTCAAAGCACTCTCCCTTTTGCTGCGCCCTCGCTGGACTCACCAGCTGCGTCCTCGGAGACTTCTGGGCGTTTGCACTGTTGTTCAGGGCACGTGGTTGATCATACTTCATCTACTTCTACTACAGCAAAACGTTAGTTATGGTTTGTGGGCTTATGCTAGTAGTGATGCTGACTAGCCCTAACTCTTGCTAACGGCTACAGGAATCGTGTCTGTGCTACAGAAATCAAACATTTTCTTTGCCTCCTGTTAAATGTAGCTTATGCAGACATTCCCATTATGCTGAAAAAACACGTACCCACCTCCCACTGAGAGGCTTCTCTTAAAATTCAAGCATACTCCATTTCCAAATACCTTTCCTTCTAAATGCAGTAACAAAACATTTTCCAAGTCACACCCACGCTTACTAATCTCCTATCCCTAGAAGGCCACTGGGAGTTCACTGCTCATCCACTGTCTTCTAATTAAAAAACCCCATCACAGACACAGCCATGGGGAAGTGCTGCCTGTGCTCAGCACCCACTGAAACAACAGTTAACCCTCAGGACACTGCTGCCTTTACCTTAGCTCATTAGGCCAAGTTCAGGAAAGGTTTTAACTAAACATGGGCCAAAAGGTGCCAACTGTAGTCTCAGCTGGTACATTTCAAGCAAAATATCATTATTTTGTTGTACAACAGACAGCTAAGTATTTTTTTACTACACCAAAAATGGGCCAGCTGCCTGCTTTGGCCTTTAGAAGTGTGGTGAAACAGTGCAAAATTAATTTATTTTCTTGTCATTCTAAGTGAAAATAAAAGGGAAGAAAGTATTTGAAAGGGAGCAAATATATTATTAGCAATACTGAGACTATGCTGAATTACTTCCTTGAACTTTGCAATACTGCATTCCAGCTGCAGCAATCTAAACAGGTGACTGATGTGAAAGCAGGGGAAAAACATGCAAAAGCACAGGTCTTGTTTAAAGGCCCTACATAAATAGAACACAGCCAGATCTCCTAGGGCCCACAATTTCAAACTAAGAAGAAAAAAACCCTTTTTCAAGGAACTTTTTAAAGATATCAGGAAGTCTTAATTTTTAGCCCTCTGGATTTAAAAAGTTTTTAACAGAGAGCATCATGCTACAAGAGAATCTAATGGAAAAGGCAACTAGTGCATTTTGATTGTGTAAACTTAAAACGCAAAGACTGAAACTGCTGGTACACACAAAGTATCAGATATTATTCTAAACCAGTTATTTAAGACAACTGAAATTCAGTTCAAGAGGGGGAGACAAGCTGAGCTTGTGACTAGACTCTTTAAATCAGAGCTTTTTCTCTAAGAACAGAAGGCAAGGTAGTTTTGCGTATTCTCATCTTTATTTAATGAGCACTTAGTTATTTTTCCCTAAATTCATTTTATCTAGTAAAACCATTTGGTTCTGTAAATAGGACTCAAGCCTAGGCAGGGTGTGCATCTCTTGAAATAAAATCCAGGAAATGGTGGATTTTATGCATCAGTATTTCAATGTGCATCAGTAGTTTTTCTAGACTGTTTTACATACATAAATAGAGTGCATCAAAGTACTGTTTCTTTCTACACATTGATATTTGGATTCCAACTGCCATCTGTGCAAACCATTCTCATTTTGGAAGAAAGAGGCTTTCTTCAGTTGCAGAATTCCATCAAATATCATTTACCTGCAATTCTGATGTGTACAGGGGATTACACAAAATGCAAAGCTTTCTCGTGGCTATTACATTAAACTCTATTCCAACTACAAGATTCGATAATATTACCAAAATGATGTTTATGTTTTGGAAGGAGCTTTGATTGCAAGATGTCCGCTCTTCCAGACCTCTCAGCTTTCTGGAATGAAACAAACAGCTCACTGAAGCATTAAAAACATTTACGCTTGGTTTGCTTTAGTTGAACCAAGATGAATGAGAGTCATAACGGTAGTGTAACCGTGAAGCAGGTCATCCTTTATGTCATTACATTCTCTTAATACGAAATTCCCAGTAACTATTCGATCACATCCTATTTCCCCATGTCCAAAAAAGCCAAAGAGGGGAACGTCTGGAAAAAACTTCCTAAAGGCATCTGCTTCCATATTCCTTTTGGTTTTATAATGCCGATATCCTCTGCCAACACATGCAAACATGAAGCCAATGGTGTTACGCTCGGGGATGTTTGCTGCTTTGAGACGCTGCATGGCGGCTTCTGCTGTCCTCTCATCAGCTACGTCCTGGTCTAACAACACAGTGGCACTCTGGATCTGGGGACCGCTGAAAGCCAGCCCGACCACACCACAGGCATCGCCGGGCTGCGCGCTCCTACTGAAAGGCAACAGGCACCACGTTAGAGAAGGTTCCAGAGGGACCACTGCCAGCCTGAATACACTGCTCCTGTGGCAGAGGCAGATTTCAAAGCAGACCAGCATCCTGAAAGCTACACCTTGCTAAAAATCAAACCAAAGCCTTCAAATTTTAGCAACTTTTTTAGCAACCTTTCGTGTGGAAAAACTTTCATATCCATTACCAAGGATTAAGCATAAGCCTACCTTTCAAATGCGTGCCAAATTCAGCAGTTAGTGTACGTCACCACTCTGTAATTCCAACTAAACTAGTAGTTAAAATTAAGACAAGCAAAGCTACTCAGCATTTACATCTCAAACCAGGGCAGCTATCAATAATGGCTCCAGAGTCATGTTGTTTTAAGTCTCCTTGGCTGGCCAGGACATGTTGCTTTCAGTACTTACTACTCATGCTTTATTAAAAATAATTTACTGTATGGTCAACTCTCTTATCTGGAGCAATAGTGCAGGTGGCACATTTCAGATGCAAGAAAAACGTTGGTATTACTACAGAGCCCAGACCCACCGTGGCACGAGGAGCCCATGGCAGCATCTGCCCTGCGCTCCGCCTGGCGGAGGGAAGGGGGTGACCCTGGTGAGATCTAGCCCCGTCCTGGGAGTGCCCCATCCTTCAGCAGCAGCGTGTTAGGTGTGCTCAGGGACACAGGCCTGGCCTGTTTGCGTGTTCAGCTACTGCTCTGTAATGTGAATCAAACAAGGCTGATCTAGAAACAAAACGTTCACATAAATGGTCTCTGTCACAACAAGTGGTAATTTATCTGCAAGCCAGAGGGTAAACACAGATGGCAATAAACACACACAGGGTATCTGAAACTGGGAATCTCCATCACACTGGGTTTCTTCTAGCTGGGTTTCCAGAATCCAGTTCATACCACAGTCACACAAAGCTTCCAGCTTTTCCAGCTAAATCACTGTGCTGGACTTTATTAATAGTCTTAAAAAAATAATTATCATTTTTCTACTGTTAATGGGCATTCCTAATATGAGATAACTAAAAGGCTATGGCTTCTTCAATGTTTCTCCCATTTTAAATCTCTATAATTTGTCTTGAAAAAGATACCTACTTCTCAGAGGTCAGTGATGTAAAGCTCTCCACTTGTCCCCCAGCCAGGATGATACTTTTCTCATTTAAAGGATTGACTATTTGATGAAGAAATCGAGTCGCTCCAGACTTCCAGGAGTTGTAGCCAAACAGAAGAACCACCCGGAGATCTGGGTTATTCTTCAGACCTACAAACAAAACCACAAACACTGATCCTCTTACATTTAAATCCTGACCCCTGCAGTCCAGCCATCCTAGTCTCTCCTCAAATAATACACCACACCTTCAGTGATGGCTTTCCCCTGCTGCAGTTGGGAAAACAAGACCCAAGTTGCCCAGGCATTCAGGAGCTGGGCTGCATTCCCCATGTAAGTGAGAATTTCTGAAAAGAACCTAGCAGAGAAAAGACGACTGCATCTGCATCCTCCAGCTTTCCACTTCTTTAGCAGAGCATCTGAGTTTTACCACAGCCCTTCAATTTTACTTGGCAGTCTTAACTGTCCTTTTACAGGCAAGAACTGAGCGTATAGGTTATTCAAAAAGGACCACAAAGCAGTAAATAGCTTTACCTGAAAATCAAATACATTACAGACATCAGCGAGCTGCTTATTCCAAGGCAGAAACTCCCAGGGTCCTAGAATACTCAAGAAACCCTCATTAAATTACTTTTCAGAAGTGATCTACTGAGGTCACAACATGAAGAACGTAAATTCTGTTTATTGAAATGTGCCGTCTTCTCTTCTACCCTTCCTTGCTACGACGCCTGAGTTAGGATCTAAATGCAAAATTATTTTGGAGAAGAGAAGCAGCTCCTCCCCACAAGTTTCTAAACTGCAGCGATGGGAACCACTCCCAAGGGCACAAACTCATTTATCTTTACTTTTAACCAATTAAAGTTGCTCAAAACTTAACAGCTCCCTCTGAACAGCCTGGAACCTAACTGAGGTAATCTGAAATCGATACACAAGATAATGCAATACTCCAGAGATGGGAAGAACAGAGATGCGCGATTACCAGCTGCAGCATGCTCTTTAAATGGAGTTAGCACAGAAGCTGTTGCTTCCATGCTGGCACCTAAACAAGCAGCACAACACTTCACAAAAACCCAAATAAAGGGGAGAACAAGGACATACCTGCTTCAGCAAATTTACTCTCATCAAAGACCCTGTTCTTCAAGTCTTTTGAAAAATGGAAGGTATGAATCTTTACCCCATCGATTTTGGGAAACAACAGAGCAAACCCAGCTTCGCCTTCTTCAATTTCTTGAGGTTGATTGCTGCTTGATCCCATAGGGGTAACTACAAAGATACAAAGCCAGACAGCTTGTGTTCAGTAAACTTTCGTCTACCCTGTAACACAGATTAAGAGAGGCAGAACAGCTTAGGTGATGTAAAACATGACAGTTCATTCCCCTAACAACATCTCTAATTGATCGCTGGTGTGATTTCGTTGTTTTGGTAAGATAAAGCATGTAGGAGTCCTGCTGGCTACAGATCATGATGAAGTCACTTTGGACAAGGATTTCCCCCAGCTGCATGAAATGTAAGTCAGCTGGAAAACAGGCACTGTACAATATAGCTGTCTCAAGCCTTCCTGCCAAGCTTCTGCAGGTCCGCAAACATGATCAGATTTTTAAGGGCTACAAATGAAACAGGGAAAAGTCCTGTACAAACATGATGACAGTATAAAGCAAACTGACACAAATATTGGGAGTGTATTATCAAATTATACTACTGACAACAATCAAAATACACTACTGATGCTGTGGGAGAATTTAAGGTGAAAACTAGGAAAAAATGTTCTAATGATAAAAAAGTGAAGTGCTAGAAAAAGACGGCTAAGGGAATTTCCCATAGCTACTGCATATGCATCCTGCTAAACCATAACAAACAGGTATATACTGAGAATGTTCTGCACAATTAGTCCCAATACGACTCTGAAAAATGTAGATAAGGCTAAGAAACATTCATTAGGTTAAGTGCTAGGAAAAACGGCAGTAAGCTGTCTGTTCAACTAAATCAACCCCTTTAATTATAACTGCATCACATGAAATAAGAATTTAAGCTCCACATGATTTAGCAAAGACACTACAAACAAAATTTAAGCTAGTGTTGAACAAGGTGGGAACACATAATCCCTGTGAGAACTCTCCTGTCAGTCTGCAGGACTATGCTTTCAAAAACATATGAAATTGTGATAAACAGGCACTGGAACAGATGCACGATACACAAGATGCCTTCAAAGTGATTTCTCACAAAATCATATGTTTTCCTCCTACCTACAATCCCTGGGGTGACCAGTCCAAGAACCTGACATCGCTTTGGCAACAATTTTTCAAGCGCAGTTGCTGTTTCCTTACTGTTTCTTTTCCTGGCTGTTAAAAAAAAAAAAAAAAAAAAAAAAGTAAAAATTAGTTGCTCTGCACGGTGCTGGAACAAACCCAGCAGTCAATCCCGTCCCATTTAACCAGCGCTGCCCATCAGCAGCTGCCCCGTTTGGGACAGCAGATCCGTAGGGGTGTAAGGGCTGTACAGGGCCGCGGGCAGAGGGAGGCAGTACCCCCTGGAGGAGGGAAAGGGACCCGTCTGCGTAACATAACAGACACCTGCGAGCTGTGGTTTTCGTCACAACGGTAAAACCATGCGGCCACGACTGCCGCCGAAGATCTACCTTCCCCCGGAACGCAGGCCCAGCGCGGTCCCTCCCGGCACGTCCCGAGCGGGCGGGCGCGGGTTTCCGTTTACCTTTCTTCTGCTCGTGGCACTCCTCGTGCCCGCTGAACGTCTCCGCGTCGGCTATGTAGAGCACGGTCTGCGGCAGCACGTGCACCTTCTGCGAACGGACCGGAGAGGGGCGCTGCT